TTCCATGTGGAAAGGGCTCCCAAAGTCCATTCATATACTAGGGATAAATACTGATCCACTACCAGAGGCCCCATAGATTGCCCAGACCATCAAATTGACATTCACATGCAGGGGGTCTGGAATAGTCCTATGCTGGTTTCCCAGCTATCAGTCTGGGGTCATGAGCTCCCACTTGTTCAGGTCAGCTGTCTCTGTGGATGGCCCTTTTTGTTAAACTATGTTGTAATGGGTGTTAACTGGAGTGGATGGGTGTGGGATGAGGGCCAAACAGGAGCAAAGTAAATGTTACTAAACTAGGGTCCAATGCTCCAGTTTAGTACTGCCCTAGGGGCTGAAGAGAACTTCCAGAGCCTTTGCTCCCCCCCAGCATCCTCCCCTTCAGACCCTCAACATACCAATCAAATCTTTAGTCTTATTACTGAACTGAAATAAAGTAGTAAGTTTGCTAGTTTAATACCAGCAGGATAGGGGGTACTTGACAGAGGTAGAAGACTTAACATAAAAACGTAAAAGTTGATAAAAACTCAGCTTCCCCAGGGAAAGAAAACACTGTAGAATATGTGTGATAAAATTAGGCCTGTCGGGGATGCTTAAAGACGGGAGAATTCACAAAAGAGCTCTGTCACTTCATTTCCTTAACCTTGACCTTCTTTTAGAGACCCTCCCCCGCCCAAAAGAAAGAAAAGAAAATCTTGTTGATGAGGCTCCAGTAATAATTGCCCATATTAAGGGGAAGAGTATAGCATTTTAATATGTGCATATAATGAGTATGAATCAAATCAGGGTAATTTAGATTCTTCTGTCTCCTTATCATCCTTATATATGGAGATCCTGACCCCCCCTTATAAAACACATTATAGGTTAATATAAAGTGTAGTTCCTAACTGTGGACTAGAATACTAGAATTAAGCTCTCCTGCTAGCTCTTTGATCTCCCATTCTCCCCCACCCTGCCCTCATCCCTCCCATGCATTATCCCTTGGGATTTCTCTTATATTTGCTATTTCTCCTTCTCCTTTTAATAACTTTATATAATATTATGTAACTGAAGCAAAATATTGGAATTGGATAATTCATAGGAATTACCAGTTACTTCGTTTGCTTGTATTCTTTCCCCAGTATACTTGAGATATTTTACAATGAACTTACTTTTTTTTGTTTTTTGGTTTGTCGAGACAGGGTTTCTCTGTGGCTTTGGAGGCTGTCCTGGAACTTGCTCTTGTCGATCAGGCTGGTCTAAAACAAACAGAGATCCTCCTGCCTCTGCCTCCCAAGTTCTGGGATTAAAGGTGTGTGGCACCAATGCCCAGCTCAATGATCTTACTTTTTAATGAAGGAAAACATTTTAAGAAAATGTCATAAACAGTAAAGGTTGCAAAGCTAGAAAATCCTGCATGCATCCTTGCCATAGAAAAGGAAATTTACCTTTATATATTTGGGATAGCCTGTCTAGCTCAGCACCTGGTAACAAAATAATGTGTAGGTTTTCTCACCTGAGATAAATACTACTATTCAATGAGTCATGGCTCGATCCATCATACTATCCTCAAACAAGAAAATTGTGGAAAAAATATTTTAATTTGCTTGCTGAGTATTACACAAGTATCAAATAGCATGAATGAAGCTGTTGCTGAGTTCTAGTATAGTTTTTTTTTTATATATGCTCTAATTTCCAAAGTTCCCATGGAATCCCGTGAAGGAGTATGAGACCACTTCCTCCATCAAATGTTTTATGATGACGCTGGAGTACAAGGACACATAATGACTGATGGGTTATCAGTTCAGTTACTGATACAGCTTTAAAGCACTCTGCCCTGTGCAGTGCCTGTCACACAGAGATCCCAAGGGATGAGGGGAACAGAGGGGTCAAGGGATGGAGGATAGACAGAGGGTGAGCAAAAGGGCACATGGGTTCACAATTTATAGGACTGCAAAGAAGAACTTCTGGGCAATGTTGGTTGGATTTCCTAAATCTATTAACTTTATTGATCTGAGAATGCTTTAGGAAGTAAGTGGACAAGCTAGGTGTTTGGGAGCTCATGGTAGACAGGTTTAGGTCTGTGCAAAAGAGGAATAAGAAGAGTTAGAACAAGGGCTTTATATAGGAAAAGATGGTGAGGCTGAGGGACCAAGCTTTCACCCGACACTGGAGCAAAGGATCAGTGAGGAGGTTGCTTTCAAATTTGCACAGCATGGTATTCTAAAGAACTATGAATTTTAAGCAACCCATAGGCATGGGCAGCTGTGGGATTTTTGCATGAGATAGTTAATGCAATAATAAAAAATGTTTTAGGCAAATCAGTTGTAAGTTTAACTTTGTATTGACTGTAAAGATATAAGTGTGGTTTGATACAGATGGAGATTTTAAGTTTTTAACAGGGATCTCAAAGTATTTTAGAAGGAACTGAACATGTAGATTTTGCTGCACCGTCAATAAAATAATTCTGTGTTTAACTGACATTGTGGAGACAGTTACATCAGATTCAGGTCTAGATCAGCTCATATTCTAATTGAAAACTAATGGATTTGAAGACAAGAAACTGGTATAAAAGTCTAGAAGTCTCCAAACATCTTATGCATATAATGTAATGAATTTTATGTGCTAAAAGAAGATAATAATTTATGCCTTTGGGGGTATTTAACCTAATTACTAGATATGTCAGAAAATTGATATATCTTGCATGTGAGTTCTACTTATACTGAGAATTTATGTACATTATCATTTTTCTTTAAAGCTATTAGTAATTTTATCTCATAAAATCAATGCTGTCATCATTTTAATACAAATGGTTATCAGTAGGGTCTTGGAATCCGGTTTGGACAAGTGTCTCTCCATGCCTTGGTTTCTTTATCCATGAGTGATGACAGTAATCACATGAACATCGTCAAATTCTTGAGAGGACTAAATATAAAATATAGATTATTGTCTACTATGTGGTAACAAGTCATAAATGACCGTTGTATTGCTAGTAATATTGCAGAATCAATTAATGATTTCGCACACCAATATTTTCTTATTGTAATTATTTGGTTTGCTTTTCAAGCCTTGCTGGAAAGATAGTCATGATCCCCGAGGTTATGTCTGGGGTCTCTGTTGAATGGCACAAGGAGTCACTGTGGGTAGCATTTGATCTAGCCACAGTAAAGTTGACCTGCATCTTGCTTTCCACAGTGAGCCATCTTTATGGATTTGGACTGATGGATGCAGAAGCCATGGTGATGGAGGCAGAGAAGTGGACAACCGTTCCTCAGCAGCACGTGTGTGTGGAAAGCACAGACCGACATATCAAGTAATGCTTACTGCCTGCCAGCATCCTGACAATGCCCAAAATGAGGCCAGTGTAACCACTATTGAACATGCAAACTAGATGTATCTTTAGTTTCTTTCTGGTGTACTTACAAAGTTGAGATAGAATGTTATACCCAACAATTCTTTCAAGGAAAGCTCTGTCCCAGTAGGCTAGCCTATATTTCCTGCTTGTCAATATCCTTGTTTAATGAAGCAAGAGTTCTTGAGATCTTTATGTTCTTCAACCTTACATTTGAAGTTCTCTAAAAACTGTTGTAAACCAGATAGCAAGTGCTATTGTACATCCCTCAGAGTTGTGAGGCCTGTGTGAGCTGCACACACTCAGATGTTGTGTTTGCAGTGTATACCCAGCAGTGTGTGAAGTCACTGCCAGGTGTTTGATCCAAAGAACAGCATTCATCTCAGGAGCTTTTCTGGAGTTCTTGGTTTTCTCCTCAGAAACCTCTCTGCCTGGAAAACTTTTTGAACTGTATTTCTGGTTGATGATGAACATACAGCGTTATAACTCTGTGCAAATGTGTTAGTAAGCACTGAAAATGGGGCAGAGTTGTGGTTTAGTTTGGTGTGATGTGGTTTTAAATTTTTCCCCATTCGCCACTTTCATGGCATAGAGTGAGAAAGCAAAAGTAAAGGGGAGGGGAAGTTAATCAGTGTGTATTTATCCAGCACAAATGACAGACAAAAGACCTTTGGCTTCCTTGCCACTTGCCTTGTTCCCTTTAAATGACCCAGTCATTTGAGTAACTGGCACCGTTGTCCCTTAATATCCAGTGAGCAGCTGCTGCCTGGGTTGTACTCTCATTTCAAGCCTCTAGACCCACTCACCTGACTTCTGCCATGTGTATTGTTCACTTCCTTCCTCTCTCTCCTGCCAGGACCATCCGCCCCAACAGTGCAGTACGCTCCATCTACAAAGCCTCCGGATGCTCGGATAATCCCAACCACCATGTCAATTACCTGGAACACGTAGTGGTGCGGATTACCATCACACACCCTCGGAGGGGAGACCTGGCCATCTACCTGACCTCGCCCTCAGGAACCAGATCCCAGCTTTTGGCCAACAGGTACATTGACAGCCTCTGCCGGCCAGGGTAGGGGCCACAGCTCTACTTGCTGCTCTTTAAGGTAGATAGAAGTGGCTGTGCTTTATTCCATACCTGGGTCCCCTTGGATACCATTCTTCCTTAGCACCTAAGTAGGGTGGAAAGCTGTCAGGGAAGAGTACCATTCTATAGTTGGGTACTAAAAGGGTGCTGCAGAAAAGTTGAAGGCCATTTGTTCTTTATTCTAAAGAGGAATTGCAAAGCACTGAGACATGTCCCTATTAAGTGTCTAAGGACATTTTACACAAATGAACTTTATTCACTATAAGAAAGTGAAGGGGAAAATGACAGTACGAACATCTATAGATGAGAGTAAGTGGGAACATAGACTCTGAGATGTTGGGGGCAGAGGTGCTTAATACTTTAACAATGAAATGAAGCTTTGCCAGAACCCAGATGCAGGTGGAAGGGGTGTGAGGATTCCACTGCATCAGATCCCGAGGCACCCTCTCCATGCCCTCCCCCTGCTGTAGACAAAGGGCCTCAGCTGCTGCCTACAAGCTAATTGCCCTACCTGCTTTATCCCAACAAACACTGCATGATTAATGAAGGCAGCAACAGCTGTTGTTACCAAAGCCAGGGCAGGTCTTTATTGCTTGCTTTTTTTTTCTCTCTCTCTCTTTTCTTTGTCATTATTCATCTGAGTTTAACTTGAAAGAGTATCCTAATGAAACTATGAAGCTCAGAGACAAGCTTCACCTATGCATGCCTCTTGTGCCCTGAGCTCCTCCCTGCTTTGCAGAAACCCAGCCTCTCTGCTGTTGATGCTGGCTGGGAAAACTCAGTCTCCTCCCCTGGTTCCTACTGCAATTTGCCATCTAGTATTGACATCCCGCAAAACGGCTTCCCCGAGGAAACCCGCCAGCTGATGGGCTATGGATGCCATCACAGGCATCTGGTGGCCTACAGGGTCACTGGCTTCAGGGCACACATGTGTACCTCCACAGTCGGCATCGGCTTTGATGCTTGCAAAGTACTGAGTGCAAGAATACTCCCGAACTTGCATCCTTGAGCTGCATTCAGAAGGTTCACCTCAGCCTTCCCCCATTCAGGTTTGCAGCAGTGTCTTGACCCAAAGCATCTAAAGGTGTTTCTCTCTGTGGGGCCTGGAGACATGTGCCGTCAGAAAGCTGTAGGAAGACTGGAGAGCTGCAGGCACCAAGGAATAGAAAAGATGTGATGAATCACCTGCAGCTACCCCTAAACTGTTCTGAGAAGCTGGCCCTTTAAATGTGAAATAGCTGCAACTGGCCCCAAGCTGCCCAGCCATGGCACCTCTGCCATTCTTGTACTTTAACACCGGGAAATATCCCTCCTAGCTGGGCAGCTAAAGAAAGACAGTTTCTTCTGCCATTCTTTTCATCTGATACAATTCCAGGGCTCCATTTTATTACAGGAAAACCCTCGCAGTATCTCTTAGTTTCTGACTTAGTGGTAGGGAGACCTTGAGACCTGTCAGCTGACCCCCAATTCAAAGCACAGTCCCAGCTTGGGAAGTGAAGAACAGGGTATGCGGCAGGGAAATGGACACACCGTGCCACAAAAAGGAGTAGAGAGGGGTGAAGAAAAGCTCTGCTGTGCCCCTGGTGTCCTTCTAGTTGGTCTCCAAGACAATTCTTTGCCTCAAGATGGATAAGGATTTGGAAAGAGTCTGTGTACCCAAGATTATTCCTAAGAACAGTAAATAATGGCCATACTAGACATTCAGCCTGTTTTTAAGAGTGAGATTCTTGCCTGAGTGTGGTGGTATCTGCCTATAACACCAACTCCAGCCAGACTGAGACTGGGGAATTATAAGTTCAAAGCCAGCCTTGGCTGCATAGCAAGAACTTGTCTCAAAGATGATAGATAGAAAGATAGATAGATGGATGGATGGATGGATGGATGGATGGATGGATGGGGAGAAATGAAATAGATAATTTTAAATGAAGATTATAGTTAAAAAGTAGGAGTTAAAATTTTTAAAGCAAAGTTTCTCTAGCAAGGCCCCTAGAGATCACACATGATCATTTGGTGGCAGAGGTTTCCCGCCCCATCTATCCTTAACCTGCCTACTTCCTTACTAACCTGGCTGCCACTGTGGAAAACTCTCCATGGTCTTTTTGGTCTCCGTTTTTTGTAGCCCTGCCTGGCCAGGGAGTTGTTATGTAGACCAGGCAAGCCTTGAACTCACGTGTCCACCTGCCAGTACCTCAGGAGTACGTCAATTAAAGTACTTTGATTAACGCCACCATACTCAGCTTCCCCCAAGGCTTTTGAAGCAGTCTCTCCACCCAGGTTTTACTCACAGCCCAGCACATAAGTGAAAGTACAAGAAGCAGTTTGGACCCAAAAGGCTCTCCCCAGCTCATTGTCCTGTCTCCCAGGCTCTCATTGTCCTTGACATTTCACTGAGGAATTTCTTCGCTATCACTTACCCATTACACTGCAGTTTCTGGACAGTCTGGCACCTGCAAAGGGCTCACTGTACATGGCACTTACATCTTTGTGGGCTGTCTGGAGCCCCTCAGTGCCTCCCTGTCCCCACTGATGGGCAGCTCCTGTGGTGAACAGCTGTTGGGAGGAGAATGGTTTACTCAAGCAGCTGCAGGTGCTAAGTGCTGGAAGGCATTCAGCAGCATTCAGAACTCTAGGCCAGTTTGAGCTTTGTGCCCCATTAGCCCAGCAAGCAGGCTTCCCTGGCAAGCCACTCTTGGTGATTTAGTGGGTTGGAGCTGCGGGTCACCAGAACTGTCCTGGGGTGGACAAATGACCGTTTCTTAACCTCTTCTTCCTCTTCCATCCCTGCCTCTTGGCCAATATCCCTTGCTTACCCAAAAGCTAAACTGTGACTTCAGAGCAAATCTCTTACTCCAAGACAATCTGGAGGTCAGACTGGAGGGTAGGGAGAAGCTGGGGGGTCTGGAGTCCTTTGAAAACTCTTAGATGAGGGCACTTTCAAATACTGTGTACAAATACTACATACAAAGTTTCCAAACCTTGTCTCACCGAATTCTTCCTTCAGCTGTACTTGCTAAAATTATGAACAGCTCCTCTCCAAATCTCCCCCTCCCATCAAACTGCATTTCAGGCTTAGCTTAATTTGTTGGCTGTCTGTTCTAGTTTTTTACCTCAAAATGAAAGCTGAAGCTTTGCATCCCTTCCTAAATTTGATTATGGAAACGTATCTCTGCTTCTAATTATAGTCTCAAGTAGAGAAAAGGTACATTTTATAGTCTGCAAAGCCCAATAATTGTGTATAAAATGTAGTAATTATACTTTAATCATTTTTGTCACTGTCCTCTCTAAATGTTCAGTGGAAAACTGTTGACATTGGTAGACATCATGGCGTATAAATGTGTTTGTGACTTGCAGTAAAAACACTACCGTTGCAATGATCCCTCTGCTTTCACTCAGAGCAAGCCTTTACGTTTTATAGAACTGGCTTTCCCTTGATCTCACTGTTTGTTTTTTAATCTAGAGAAGGAAGTTTCCTCATGAGATAGATATATTACTATCTACCTCACAAGAGTGGTGTTGAGTCTTGAATAAGCTAATGTGCAATACATCCTTAGCTCTGGGCCTAGCATGTAAGCATTTAGCAAGTGGAACCCTGCTTACACAGTGCTTCTCAATACACCCAGCCAGTGGCCTTATCAAACACAGATGCCTGGGCCCTGCTCATGGGCTCTGAATCTGTGGTTCTGGGGTGAGGTCTAAGAAGCCCCATTTCTAATGAGCTAGTTAAGAAGAGATCCACCTACCCATAGATCACCCTCATCTTCAATTTAAAAGATCACCCAGATTATCTTGTTTTTGTGTCACAAAATATCTTATATGTGGTATTGTCCCCAATGCTGTGCAAATAATTTACAAAGGCATTTATATTGCAAAACAGACTCCTGCATAAAAACCGTATACTCTATAATGAAGTCAGTCTTCTGCAAGATGAGGCACTCTGTATACCCATGAAAGGGAATGTGTTTACGGGTTCATGAAGGACTTGAAAATATGCTTGTTGAAACTTGACATTTAAGGGGGAAAATTCCATTTAGATATTCTAAACCTCTCTAGCACAAATTCCAAAACAGTTCTTTTTGAAAGAATTTATTTTAACTATTTTAAATGTGTGTGTGTGCACACACTTGCGCGTATGTACAAGTGCCCACAGAAGCCAAAGGTGTGAGATCCCCTGAAGCTGGAGTTATAAGTGATTGTAAGCACCCAACACGGGTGCTGGCACCTAACTCAGGTCCTCTGAGAGAGCAATAACTGCTCTCTCAACTGCCGAGTCAGCTCTTCATTCCCCAAAACATCTCTTAAGCACTTGATATGAGAAAAAAAAGAAAGCAAATAGTTTGGTTTAAATACCCAGTATCATAAATGGTCTGTTATAATTGAGCAGGTGAGAGCTTGGAGCTGTCATTAAGCTAAGGTCTACCCTAAACTGTGACAAAGCACTTACAAAGTAAAAGAGGCAAGAAAGAGAGACGAAGGCTGATGTCGTGATAAATACTGTTTGAATAGTAGGTGGTGATTCTGAAATTAAGACCATTTAGGGTCTTAGAAATAATTATAAAGCATGGTTGCCAGTATTCATAAAATGCCTTGTTATCTAGCTGCCACACCTTCTTGGAAGCATGTTGTAGCTGTGATATATTGACTAGACTCTTCAATGAAAGCAGGGGGAAAAAAATCTCATGCTAATTATATGAGTTATTTCCTGATGAGCTACACATAATGGCAGGCTATTCCAGCAGGCTTCATCCAAAGTAATTAGTTTGAAAGCCACTCACAAGCATAGAGCTGGGGCACCGTCTTAATAAGTGGGTGTCATTTGTGCCAGTTGCACCTATCATTTCACTGAGGCCACAATTAGGAAGTCAATTGTGACAGAACTGACTTCTCTATAGCAGAAGTGGATCTGGACATGGTGACAATTGACTCTGGCTCTTAGTGTACTGGCTCTGTCTTAGTCACATGTTATCCACACTGATAGTGTTGGAGTATCATCTGTGTCTGCTGCTGGCGCAACACAGGTATACAGGGTGGGCATTTGACTTCTCATTTGTTTCAGGGCTGGTCCTCAATTAGGATCTCTTTAACTGAGAGCCTTGGTTTTACACCTGAATATTTTATGAACAAATATACTCCCTGCAATGCCAAGCTAATCTACTTGCTTCATTAACTTTTCCTGCTGAAGAAAGAAAGAAAGCAGTTTGAATTACAATGTTAAAAGACAAAAATTATCAAAATGTTGAATGAAAATCAGAATATGTCCCCATTTAAACTACTGCTGCTTATGAAAGCTAAAGAAGACTTACTGCACATGCCCAGTTAGCTGCCACAGAAAGCCTTGTCTGTCTCTTTTCCCATCACCTCTCCCCAGAATGTCAACATGTGTCTAGCTGCATTTCATTTCTCTACTTTTAGAGTCACATGAAATTAATGAACACCCCAAGTCTGTAAAGTGAAGAGGCCAGCAAATTGCTTAACTATATATGCATAGACAAAGCAAATACATATCTCACCTTTGAAACAGTTATTTGAGTTTTGTATTACAAGTATCTCTACTAGGCATTAATTCCTTGTTCCAAATGGGATCTGAAAGTGATCAGCAGCAAGGGATTGATTTCAAGAAAAGAGAAAGGACCACAAGGAAGAAACACAGAGGCTGCCAATCCAGCCAGCCAGTAACTGACCCCTAAACAATTAGAAGTTGACTGAGGTTTTGGAAGCAAGTCAGTGGCCTTAAATCTCCTTTGCAAGTTTTGATATGAGGCTGTGAGCTAAATTTCCTATCTAAACTGTTAAAGAATTGTTTTCAAGGTCACTCTTGGAGGGCTATTCTGTGACAACTTACTACTATGGAGCCCTCACATGACACAGTAGGTTCAACAGATCAGAGTTCAAGTCAGGGCTGTGACATAGAAGGAAGGAGTCATTCTAACTGAATTTCCCTATCAACATACTTCCTTCAATAGCATCTGAGACAGCTCCTGGTCCTTGCCTACAAGTTGGTGCCTTTTGATAACTTTCAAATAACCCCCCCTTCTAAGAGTGTCAGTCAATCACATGATCTGAGAAGTTCGTGGTGATGTCTAGTTTTAAGCCATAAACTTGTGAAATGAGCCCTGTGGTTCAGTGGCTTGTGGAACCTCCACTCACTTTGTCATCCTTATTCTACTAAGGGGCAATTACTGTGGGGAAGTGCTCTTGTTTAGAAGATACCAGGGAAAAAATCAAGCACAGGATTTGCTGTAGGCCCTGCTAAGGGGCTACCAACTCTCTATTCAGAGAGGTAAACTTTATAGGTACCACACAGATACTCTGACAGGATGAAGAAGGCTTCCCAAGCAACTTAGGTTTAAAAGAATTGCCAGCCATCTGGAACATAGCAAACCGTCTTTGCACACTCCTAAGAACTAAGCTAGTAAGCGGCTCCATTGACTTTTGTTTCCTTCAGACTTTCTGAAATATTATTGACCCGGAGACGGTTGAAGAGTGTGGCTTGATTTCCCTTTTCTTTCTTGCAAAGGCATAGGAATATGTGGGTGGTGATTTTACTGTTCATTGTTTTCCTAGGAAATATTGCTAAGTCAGCCACTTACCTCCCCACACAGTCCAAACTCATGCTACTGAACCCTGCAGCTGTAGAAAACAGCCACCATTTTGGAGGGAATCACAAACGTATTGACAATTTTTGTTTTTCCAAATCAGGTTTCTAATGTTAGTCTTTAAGGAGATGAGAGCAGTCCTTTGGGATTTTCTAGAAATGCACATTTTCTCCCAGAGAAGATCTACATAGAGGCCACATAGCCACCAATTTACTTGAATAGCCATGTGACTGCCAAATGGCAGTAACTGACCGGTAACCTGAGACAGTGCTAGAGATATGTCCCCTCCCTTTTGCCTCTGTGATGTTTCATGTATTCTTCTAGGTGCTCATAATTTAGAAGTACAAAAAGAAAAACCTGTCCATCCCGACTTTTTTTAAATTTCCTAGCATGTGTTCTGTCTTCACCATATTTTCATCATCTTTTGGACATTGTCTGAGTAATCACATTTGATCTGCCTATGTAAATGACATATTTCTCTCTCCCTCTCCCTCTCCCTCTCCCTCTCCCTCTCTCTCTCTCTCTCTCTCTCTCTCTCTCTCTCTCTCTCTCTCTCTCTCTCTCTCTCTCTTGATTTTTTGAGACAGGGTTTCTCTACAACCCTGGCTGTCCTAGAACTCTGTAGACCAGACTGGCCTGAACTGAGAGATCCACCTGCCTCTGCATCCCAAATGCTGGGATTAAAGGTGTGTGTCACCACCCGGCCTGACATGCTTATTCTTAATGTATTCACTTATACATTAGCTCTTAACACCTCTTTATTCTTAACTAAGATTCCATTAAATTTATTGCTCTAGGTATTTTGTATCCTCCACATGACACCACAGGAAACATCACTCTAATTATTTCAAGTAGAAAAGATATTTCATCTAAGGGAATGAAAAGCATAAAAATTGGAAGTACCAGAAGAGCAGGATCCCAACTGGGATTCCAGATGCAATTCTAGATCAAATTAAGCATAAACTTTGCTCTTTGGGGAGGAGGTGTTTATTGTTTTTGAGGCAAGGTCTCACTAGGACTCCTGGAGCTCACTGACCTTAAATTCATAGAGATCTACCTGACTCAGTCTTCTAAGTGTGAGAATCTTAACCTATATGAGAATGATTCTGTGAGTTTTGACAAATCTCTATTGCTGTGTGACTATACACCACTGTTTCCAAGATCTCTCACTCCTAAGCATCCTATCCTGCTTCTTGCAGTCTCTCCTCCCACATACCCGACAACTGTTTCTTGTAGGTCTTGCCCCTTCTAGGACTTAAATGGCTTAAGTCATATATCACATAATCTTTATATCTGGCATTTTTGTGGCAAATGATGTTTGGGAAATTCGTATGTCATACTTTGCTTATTGACCAGTTTGTGGGGGCCACAAAGCGGGCTCAGAAGTTCAGAGCACTTGTGCTCCAATCATAAGGACTAGAATTAGGATCCCAACACCATGTATCAAGCAAGATATCCCAGCAATGCACAGAACCCCAGCTCCAAGGTAGATAAAGACAGGAAGATCACTGGGCTTTCTGGCTCCCAGTCTAGCTGAGAACAGTTCAAGCCCAGACTCAGGAAGGTACCCTGCCTCAAAAGGAACAGGCAGAGAGTGATAGAAGACAGCACCAACTTCTGGCCTCCACAGGTATGCATGCTCACAGAAGCAGGCACAAATACTTACACAGACCACAAATAAATAAATAAATAAATAAATAAATAAATAAATAAATAAATCTACCAGTAGGTGGTCAATGAAATTTACGTGTTTTTAAAGAATTTTTAAATTTATGTGTGTGTGCCTTTGTATACCAATTTATTTGTCCCACGGGCAGACAGGTGACTCTAAAGGCCAATTTAGGACAACGGATCCCCTGGAAAAGTAGTTACAGGCATAGGGTGCTAGAAACCTTACCTGGATGCAGCCCCTTTACAGGTTTTGACAATTATGAACATTCATGTGACATTCTTTCTGTGTCTTATGTTTTCAGTTCACTTGGATAAATAACTAGAAATGAGATTGCTGGACTGCTTAGATAGAGTACTCTTTGCACTTTATTAGAACTCTAATGCTGTTTTCCAGAGTTTGGGTGCCAGTTTTGCGTTCCCACCCCCAGTTTAAGAGATGCTGGCTGCCTTGTGCACTCAGCACTTTACTACTAGTCTTGTCGATAAGAGTCTTAGCCTAGTTTTCCTGTTCCCTAAATAGTTAGCTGGCCCTTCCAATTTGCTACATGGCTAGCCCCAGGCCTGCTTTATGGTGAAACTATGATGCTGTATCTGGCTCTGACCATTGGTGATATCCAAGATGAAGACAAGTTAATATGTGACCACGGATGCTGACAGATACAGACTACTGGCGATGCCTTTGGCTGTCCCCTCAGCAGATTTTTAATTAACGCACACAACATAGAAAATATGTTATGGTTTTTCAGGCTGTTTGATCATTCCATGGAAGGGTTTAAGAACTGGGAGTTCATGACCATTCACTGCTGGGGAGAGCGGGCTGCTGGTGACTGGATCCTTGAAGTTTATGATACTCCATCTCAGCTGAGGAACTTTAAGACTCCAGGTAAGAAATCATTTCAAGTCCATCTGTTTTGCAGAAGGAAATGGTGGACTATATTTGAGCCAAAGAATGTTCCACACTTGCCCTACTCTAATTGCTTTGGCTACAACAATCTGACACTGTTACTCCATAAAGAAAAAAAGGTTTGTTTACCTCACAGTTCTGGAGGTTCCTTTAGCAACCTACTCTCTCCAGAACTAATTCACCTCTGCAGGATCCACTCACTCTGAGAGACCATTATTAATGTATTGATGGAGCTGGAGCCCCTTAGCTTGACTACCTCCCAATAGGCCCCACGTCTGAAAGCTTTCACTCCCCCCAGTTGCATTGTGTGTGGAAGAGGCCTTCAGCACATAAATGCATGAGTGATGAGTCCTGACAGCATCCTGGTGCAGTGTCACCATTCTGTGTGTGATTCGTTTCATACTCACTTGGGATTTCATACACACCTTCCAGTCCTCAAGTCCTCAGTAAAATAGGATCATTTAAGAACATGAAATAAAGAATAAACATTTAGGTGTAAACAAAACACAGATCCTGCGGCTCTACATCTGCCCTCCCCCCTTTTCTGTAGTTTGTAAAAAAGCCAATCTTGTTCACCTGCAGTGCTTTATATTTCATTATAGATGCATTGGTTCACCAAAAAAGAGATAGGTTTCCTTAGCTACTTTTTGTTTGTTTATCAAATTTTAATTTTCAATTCAGACAAGACAGTGAGCTTAGACTGTACCAACTAATCTGGTTATTACCAAAGGAGGAAAATGTTGATATTCTGCCCTGCATGAGCTCAAAAGCAAAGGAAAATAAAACTCTTTTTCATGTACAATATGGAAATGACCATGTTAACTGGGATCCTTTCCAGTCCTCTAAGATTCCATAGCTGCACGTCGGTTGGCCTCTCTTATGCCCGTATATGTAGCTTCTTTGTCACATAGCAATGAAATGCACACAGTGGAAGAGTGCCTTGCCCACTCTACTAGCTCAGTGCATAGATTCAGAAACAGAGTGCATCACACAAACAAACATCCATGGTTCTAAACTTATGGCTCATCTGCAAAGTCGTGGACTGGTGGCTGGCCAAATGGCTCAGCGGGTAAAGGCATTTGTTACCTCAATTGAATCCCCAGAACCCCAAAGGTGAAAGGAAAGACCTGGCTCCCAAAAGTGACCTTTGACCTCCTCACATGCCCACACACATTCTTAGTTAATTAATTAATGAAACAAAGATATCTTACTTTAAAAAGATTATTTGACTTCAAATCACTTAACAAAATGCATTAGAATAATCTTAAGTTTTATTATTTTTCCCAGGCTAGTAATGACTGACTTGTCTTTCAGGTAGGTGAAGAACCATCCATGAGGAGACACCTGAGATGAGGCTCCTATAATAGACAAAAAAACAAATTCCACCCAGGTGTAGCTTGATGAACCACTGAGTTTATTAGGGTGACTTACAGGCACATGAGTGAGAGATGACCTACAGCCCACATTATCTATAGGAGACTCTTCTGCAATGCTGTAATTTCTTATCCATGGCCATGGATTTATAACTCAGCACCATCTTGAGGACCTGATTTTTTTTTAGTTAATTTTAGTTGACTTACATTTAAATAGCCAAGTATGTCTAATAGCTGTCATATCAGACAACACCATCTTTAAAATCATCTAAATACAAATACTAAACAACTGATTATGGAATTAGGTGGCACAAAGAATTGTTTTCTCTTATTAACACACAAGACACTATCAAAAACATCTTAAAAGCTGGGGTAAGACCTTGGTACCTCGGGCAACAACACCTTCCCCAGACAGCTAGTATTCTCTCACGTATTCATGGTTTGCAATTCATTCCTTGATTCAGGGATCTGAAGAATGTTTATTTACTGTAGGGATACATTAAATGTGTAGCATGTGAACTGGGAGATACTTAGTTCTACAGATGGTAGACCTTGCATCAGGTACGACTCCTGTCAACCTTGATACTGTTCCACGGTGGCTTTTTCTTGTTGAGAAGGACTGACTGAAAGAAGTTAAGCTAATATGAGATTATCTTGTCATGCTCTGTGTCTGTTACTGTTTCTCAAGGTAAATTGAAAGAATGGTCCTTGGTCCTCTATGGCACATCTGTACAGCCATACTCCCCAACCAATGAGTTTCCCAAAGTAGAACGCTTCCGCTACAGCCGAGTGGAAGACCCCACAGATGACTACGGTGCTGAAGATTATGCGGGTGAGTTGGATATAACCTAAGGAAGCTTAGGCATGTTCCTAGCATGTGGAATAACATGATGTAATTGATGTAGTTTGATCCCTTCAAAGATGTGGTATGATAGGCATTCTATTCAGCATCTATCCATAGTCTGGAATATTTTCTCCCCCCCAGATACTTGTGTGTACATTAGTTTTTAAATGTTTATAGCTTTGGTTGCTAATAAGCCTGACCATGTTTTCTCTGTGGTTCTCAAGATTAAATGCCACATTGTTTCACCCATTTTCTATTCAAGGAGATAGCCATTCCCTTCTCTCTCTGTAGGAACTCAGGAAGCTACTGCCTTTCACATGGTCTCGCAGCTTCTGAAAACATAGCCTCAGCTATCTCTTTCCAAAGTGACTTTTATAATGCATTGTTTCACTGTAAACACTAATAAAGGGTATGGTTTGCACTTCATATATAACAGTTTTATTGCTGTTATTTTCAGAAATCTTATCCTTTAATATCCACAATTTGGCAATCTCTTGATGTTTCTCCAATTGGCTGTTTCCATCTCGATTGCTTTGGTTTGGTGTGTATAGAGCAGATTGAAAGTGACTTTATTTTCCAAACAAAAGTTTATCATTGACTAAGCAATTGCCCCTTTTATCAGCTCTGATGCTTTCTTTACAACAGTATAGTGAGTTCTTATATAAAGGTCTCTGCTAATTCACGACTTTTAAGTCATCACCTGCTCTAGTGTCTCGATTTTAGTTCTATGAAGTTTTTTTCTTCTTTCTCTTTCTTCGCTTCTCCCCACCTGTCCTCCTTTGCTTTTGGTTGCTGTGGAGAATGAAAAGCAGTGTGGGGATGAAGGGCAGGGCAGGAACTGAAGCAGAGACCATGGAGGAACTCTCCTTTTCAGGCTTGCTTTCCTTGGCTTTCTCAACCTTTTCTTATACACCACATGCCCACCTGCCCCAGGGATGGCACTTCCCAAAGTGGCCTGGGCACTCCCACATCAATCAAGAAAATGCTGCATGGCACGCCCACATGCCAATCTGATAGAAGCAGCTCCTCAACTGAGGTTCCTTCCCTCTTCCCAGTTGACTCTGCTTATATCAAGTTGACAAAACATAAAATAAAATAAAAACCACTGACTTCTCCCCGCCTTTTCTCCCCTATTCTCCTGTGCTGGGGCCTGGAACACTCTGACCACATATCCTACCTTCAAGCCCTGTAGTCTATTTTAATATTTGTCACACATTTACTTCCAATTTTCAGAAAGATCATTGTCCCTCCATTTTTCAGATGAAATTTTAAATGACTAAAGTTGCAGTTTAGTTTTCCAATTGAACTTAATTGGAATTTACATGCAGTCTTATGGGAAGACTTATTTTTGTATTAGTCTTCCATGTAAGATAGAACATGCCCCATTTTACTGAATCATTTAACATGATATAATTTTATTCTTATTGTTATACTTAGTTATTTTTGATCTTGTTGCCCTTGTCATGGACAGTATCCCATACTGTTCTACTGTGTATTCTAGTATTTTGGAAGTCTATTACCCCACTGCATTTTTGTCTTTTATCTGAACATGTTGTCCACTTTTCTATTTAGTTTATATGTTTTAAAGTCAGTTTTCTAATTGTTTTTAACTTTTATTTCTGAATCTTGTCTTGTTGCATTGGCAACCAATCCTAGGGACATCCTGCCCTTTCAAAATATGATACATAGCATCATTTGCCAAAGCTCTGCCTAATAGGAAAGTGTTTATAAATAGAAATGTGATGTATTTTTAAACAAGAAATGTTTTATTCCTGTAGTTCAGGGATTCTTCTCTTGCTACTGAGGTAAATGTTTTTAGTTAATTATTTGATCCGAATCTCTTAAACATGCAGTAAGTTCTTTTATTGTAAATAGGTAGTGATCTGGAGTCAATAACATGCTTGGATAATTAAAATCAAATGAGCTAACTAGGGCTAGATTGTGTCAGCTTTTGTCTCATCTTGTTTTGCTTTGAGCTTGTCATGTTACTGTTTATATTATAACTAGAAACCATTTTATCTTCAATGACAGGAGAAGGGGTTTCCAAAATCATAAATGGAACACAATAGTAATTAAGCTATTACTCTTTCTTGTATCCCAATTTTGAAACTTTGCATTCAGATTTGGTAACAAGAAAATTCTGAGCACAATAACACATCCTTTCCTCTTTTCTGATTACATTTCTAAAACATTGATGTTTGCAGTTGTAAGAGAACAAATACAATTTTATGTCACCTTTATCCTGAAATTCACAAAGCTGTACTGTCTCTGGAACAATTTAGGATTGCAAAAGAAAGAGCATAGTATGCAAACCTGCGATGCATAGACCTTTGGCATATATCACAAATCACATGTGTAGAGTTTAAACTTTAAAAATCATCTAGTCTCTCTCTCTCTCTCTCTCTCTCTCTCTCTCTCTCTCTCTCTCTCTTTTTTTCGAGAGAGGGTTTCTCTGTGTGTCTTTGTATACTGACTCTCAAAGACTGTGACATCCACAGCTGCCTTAACTCACATAACACAGTCACCCGTCCCCTGGTGTACAGTGGTAGATGACTGAACTGTCCAAAGTTGTACTAGCTGTGAAATTTAATTTGGAAATCAATTTAAGACTCTTGGGGAAAGAGAAATAAACAGCGTTGTCAAATGACTCTTGGAATTAATCAGGAATGCCTTCAAGCCCTCAGCATTTTAAAGTCACTTATTCCATTCCAACCACGAGGACATTTCAAATACATGATTTGCTTCCTTTAAACAGATCTGTACCAGAACTCTGGATGTTTCTTGATCCCAGATTTCCAAGCCATGTGATGCTGGGCAAACCATTGTAACTCTTAGAAAATCCATGACTAGCACATCTTTTTCCACGTTCTTCCACCTGAGTTCTAGCATTTTATGTTTGTATGATTCCGTAATTATAGAACCCAGTTCTCTAATGACTAAACAAGACCTTGGGAGATTTAGCAGTAAATCCCTTTGATTAAAGTAAATAGAATTTGAGCATGTGTGATTCCCTTCACCTACATTTTGCATATTTCAGGAAATTATGTCTTGGTATTTAAAATCACAAGAATTTCTGGTGGGAAGGGGCTTGAAAATGAAGAGTCCAAATATCTTAGAAGTTGGAGATCAAGAAGAAAGAATAAATGCTTACCTGAATTACCCATGCCATTAGAATGCTCTGTGTCAGTCACAGCACAGCCCACCCCTCCGGTGTGGTTTTTGTTTACTATGAAGTGTTTCTCGTATAATACCAAAGGACATCTAACACAAGAACTTAGGAACCTTTGTCCTAGGTGTGGACTTATTTAATCTAGTTTGTAGTTTTGAATTTATATGTCTTCTCTTTTGTTGAGCTGCCCTCTGACCTTTGTTAGGACACAAACTTAAATCTTTCTGTGTCTGAAGCGCTTTGTGATCCAAGATTAAGGGCTGTTAAGTTTGTGCCATGTGGCACAATGATAGTTCATGATGACTGTAATATTTCAGAGATACTCAGTGGCTTTAGTGGCCTTAGACAAGATACAAAACCTGCTCTTAGTGTTAAGTAATAGTTTTTTGTCAACAATCTTAACTTGTCATTTTTCAATAAATTTCTTATATTTATTGCTATACATAGTAACTACAGTCATTTTTTCCTCATTTGCTATAGTAAACCTATTCATTTGAATCCCAAATGCCCAAATGTCTCTCCCAACACCTAAAGGCTATCCTATGTGTTATAAACACCAGGTTATACCTGTCATTTATATTCTTGATTCTTCAGCAATTGAGGTTTGCCTTCACTCAAGAGTTCAGTCTTGGGCTTATAGTTATAGTGACTATTGTTCCTCCATCTTAAAGAAATTGTCACTGCATGTTGTCAAGGGGCTAAAATGTCTTATTCTATTCCACCTTCAAGACTAAACTGACTTAATAGCATCATTTTCTTTTTTCTAACTTGTAATCTCTTTTTGAAAGGTCCCTGTGATGCTGAATGCAGTGAGGTTGGCTGTGACGGGCCAGGACCAGACCACTGCAGTGACTGTTTACACTACTACTACAAGCTGAAAAATAACACCAGGTGAGAGACACGAGCCATGTTCTCACATGTTCCCTAAAGCATGCCCCATGTGTCCCAGGCATTCCTGTGGGGCCAAACACATAGAGTATGCATAGACAACTCTGTATTCCCAGGTTCTGCTACCAAACTCTACACACAGAAAGGATGTTCCTGCTAAGGCCCATGACAGGCCTGTCATTCTCAAGGCTGATGAAAATCATACTGATTTACACAGTGGAAAATTGGCATATGTATTGGTTGCTTTTCTCATCACTGTGACATATGACCTGACAGAAGCAGTTTAAGAAAGAAAAATATTGTTTTTGCTCACAGTGTGGAGAGATGCAGTCTATCCTGGCAGAGAAAGCATGGGAGCTGGGTCAAAAGGAGTTGGTCACATCCTGAAAAATTGGAGCAATTCTGGTCAATTCTGTTGTACAGATGGCTTTTGCTTTTCCCCTCTTTTAAATAATCTGAGGATCTTGCCTGTATTCAGAGTGAATCTTCCTTTGTAGGTTGGACCTCCCTATAAATACATTTCCTAGACACATCCAGTAGTAATTAGAAGTCTCTCCGGGTAGACAGTGAAGAGTAACCATCACAGGTCTACACCTGGTCAACTCAATACAAAAGCATGGTACTGTTATAATAGCATTCCACCTCTGGTCCTCCAAGACTCATAGCCCTCTTATAATGGAAAGTACATTACATTCTTACATCTGTAAGAATCCCCTGAATCTTAACAGACCTAACAGTACTCAAAAACCTAGAGTCTTTTTGGACTTTTTGCATACTTACTAGGTTTCATACTTCCAATACATAGTAGCATGGAACATACTTTCTATTTCAAAATTGAAGAACTGGGGTATAGCAAAGAAAGATCAGACCAAAGTTAGATCACAGCCCAGTAGAGCAAACATGAAATCCTACAGCTCTATATCTGGTGTCTGGGTCCCTTGGCAAAATCTGAGCTCCAACAGTCTTGGCCATACCAACCCCTCCACTTCTGCCACCTGCTAATACAAATTTCCTCTCTCATAAACTGACTCGATTCATTGCCTATAGCTTTCTTTTATGAACATCCCATAGTCCTGGTATCTCCAACATCCTAGGATCTCCCTTGCGTCTTAGGCCTTATTTTACCAGTTTCACACAGTTCCTCTCAAAGCCTCATTGCAGAGAATCTGTCCTTGCCTCACACTGACTGTCCCCAGTGGCATTTTGTAACTTTGATAAAAGCCTATATGATATTGTAATGCTTGCCTAGAAAGGCCAACACTGTGAATGATGCTGTCAAGTTCTGCTGTGAGTTTGAAATATAGTATCACCCCCATTTACAACAGTTGTAGTGGCCCCTGCTCCTTGGCAGTTAAACATATGATGAAAACGCTTCCCTAAGCCCATTGTTTTCAATGGGGCATCATTGTCAACAACATTCTGAGTTCGGTAGCTTCCTTTCGAGTGGAGCATACAGTGTGGTATCCGTCCCTAATGGCCCTTTTCATGTTCCTCCAGAAAGGAGTTTAAGGGTTCTCTAAGGACATAGACCTCTCAAGCAATGTACCTCTATCCTTAGTGATGGTTTGGAACTCCCCTCCTCTGTTTTTCTCACCCAGGCACATTTTTCACATCTTTTAGCTGTCACTCAACGTACATCTGACTGAGAATAAACAGTAACTATATCCCAGCATAGACATTAGGCTGCCTCACAATTTCCTCTACCAAACAACTGAGACTTTTTAATTGAGCCTTGCTCAAATGTTCAGTACCCAGACTGAATGTAATGCTGCCAGAATGTAGTGTAAATGGCCTCTAGTGCAGGTCACCATAGAACCCTTATCTCCCTCTGAACCCTCAGGACCCAGTTTCCGCTGTCTGATAAATTCCTATGCAGGTGTCCCATAAGCTCTTCTTGGAGCATTTAAGTGTTCCAGTAGCCTGAATTTCCAAATGCTCGAATTCTTCCGTGTCCCTCTTACGGTCCTATATACTACACTGTCAGGTTTATCACAGCAGATAACCCCACTCATAATATTGATTTTCTGTATTAGTTGCTTTTCTCTGGCTGTGACAAAATGCCTGCCAAAAGCAAACTGAAGAATGGCTTGTTTTGACTCACACTCTGAAGGGATATAGTTCAAGGTCCTATAGGCATGATGGTGAGAGCATAGGCAGTTAGCCGTGTTGAGTCAGCTGTCAGTACTCAAATCAGTATAGGTACTCAGCTTCCATTCTCCTTTTTCCCTTTTTATTCATTCTGGGAGCCAAGTCCATGGCATGATGCGACCTACATTTAGAGTGGGTCTTCAATTCAGTCTCTGGAAACTATCCTCCTAGACATATCTGCAGGTGCATCTCCTACGTGACTCCAAATCGAGTCAAGTTAATGCAGAATATAAGGCAGCAACTGCAAATACCGTCTCTCTTTTGGAGGCATGAGAGGTGAGACCACTTAGCATGCTGGTCTTTTCCTTTAGTTATTTCTTTTGTCAATTAGCAAGTAGAAATTACATGTATTTATTGAATACCACATGCTATTATTCGTTGTAGGGTGATTAAAACTAATATCTGTAGTTTCGAAATGCTTATTATTTTTGTAATGAGAACACTTTTTTCTTTTTTCCATTTTTTTTATTATAATGAAATTATTTTACATGTCAATCTCAGGTCCCTCTCCCTCCCCTCCTCCCCTGTCCCCCTACTAATGCCCTACCTATTCCATACCCTTTCTGCTCCCCAGGGAGGGTGAAGACACCTTATAGGGTGTCTTCAAAGTCTGTCATATTCTTTGGGATAGGGCCTAGGCCAACCCCCTTGTGTCTAGGCTCAGGGAGTATCCCTCCATGTGGGATGGGCTCCTAAAGTCCATTCCTATGGTAGCGTTAAGTACTGATCCACTACAAGAGCCTCCATAGATTTCCAAGATCTCCTCATTGACACCCACATTCAGGGAGACCCCCTGAATGAGAACCTTTTTAATTGACCTTTTTAGCAATTTTCAAGTGTACAACATGTTCTTATTAACTCTGGCCACTATGATATAAGATGTATTTGTTGAACTTAGTCATCCTGTCTGAAGTTCTGTGTCCTTTTAGTCCTTTAGAGTCCTGGACATGCCAGTGCCCGGGCAAGACATATACTCTTTTTATATCCCCTAACATGCAACCATCCATGCTTACTCTTCTACTTTAGACACTGAAATAGAGCCTGTGCCTCTCAGCCCCTGGTTTCTGCCTAGCCATGTAAATATATCCTCATGGATTCAAGATACAAACTAGTGCTGTTCACACAAAGCCCATCCTACCAACACCGTGTCCTTTCCAGCCCAGCCCTCCTTCTCATCCTCTTTCAGGTAAAACTGTACTCTAGGAACAGTGTCCAGACACTTAAGCAGACCAGCCAAGCTCAGAATCCTGTTTAAATTCTTGCTAGAAGTTTGATGCCTTGAGGAGAAAGGTTCTCAGCTCTCGGCACTAATATTATCTGTTGCACTAACCAAAATGTCTGGTGTGTAATTTGTGCTCAATAAATATTTAAATAAGTAAAGCCTTGCTATGGACAGTTAAGGAAGTTGGCTTTTTTAAAAAAGAAAATTTCTGATGAACAAAATTGTGTGTATGTGTGTGTATGTCAGTTTAAGTAAGAACACACCACATCTAGCTACATGTACATACAAGCCACATGACAAATTTCACACAGAATTGGACAGAACACCTTATTTTAATAACCTTTTCCATAAAGTTATGGCCTGTATTTGTTTTCCCTCAGATTCAGCACCACAAAATAGTTCTTGAGATTCAAACTCCAATTACTATTCCTTTTCTAGAGCTAGACCTTAACTAGAAGATAGCAGACAATGAAATGTCTGCTTAGTGGATGCAGTGCAGTCTAATGTCATGGTCCTCTGACTTGCTGCATGGGACGAAGCTCTGCAGATTTGGTCTTTTTGATTTGTTGTTGGCATCCCAGTTGAAAATTAACCTTAAGGCTGCAGGCAGCCATCAGCTTTTCAACAATGCTGAGGTCTGAGTGTTGAGTGACCGTTTCTCTTGTCATCCCACGATGCAGAATTTGTGTCTCCAACTGCCCTCCTGGCCACTACCATGCTGACAAGAAGAGATGCCGGAAGTGTGCTCCCAACTGTGAGTCCTGCTTTGGCAGCCACAGTGATCAGTGCCTATCCTGTAAATCCGGCTACTTCCTGAATGAAGAAACCAGCAGCTGTGTTATTCAGTGCCCTGATGGGTCATACCAGGATACCAGTGAGTTGCTTTCCAGTATTCGGGTTTTTTAAAAGACAAGGTTTTCATCTGAGTAACTTCATATGTGAAATCTTGGCTTTGTTTGGTACCAAACAGAACCTAGCCAGTTCATTAAAGAGATACTTTAGAAGTGTTGTGTCGAGGTGCCTGTAACTACCTGTAGCAGAACCCTCATGATCCCTCCCACCACGAAGATTTGCTAGTAGACTTAGAACACTGAGGATATAATTACAGCTGGAATTTGTTAAAGCAGGATACAGTGTCAATTCAGCAAAGGGAAATAGGAAAGGCTAGAGGAATCTAGAACCATGCACTCAACCCGTGTTTAATACCCCCAGCAAACTTCTGTGATAGCATGTGTGAAATACTGTATACAAGGAAACTTCAGTAGAGACTGTGTGTCCCCAGTCATCATTAGGAGCTGAACAAGTAGACACTACCTTCCTGGCACACACCATAAACCATGCTGCCTGTATAATTTTCACAGTGTTAACTAATCTCATCAGAGTGATGGAAACTGTCCCTAAATCCCAGTTCCCAGGAGCCAGCTGTGGGCCAACCTGATAAATAAGATGACCGTCATCAGATCTGCTCACATCTGCACATTAACCAAACAGACTTGAAAAGATTCCAAAACATGAAGTGCAGAATGCACATGTGTTGGAAACATTTTGCACATTGACGAACAAATTATCTAACATGGTAATTAATGAAACAAGCAAAGGGAGAATGGGTTGTAAGATGATCAAGTACTGTAGTCCCCTGGGAAAGGGAAAAAGAAATCCTTTTATGGAGCTGGTGAGGGGGCTCAGTGGTTGAGATTGTGGGTAAGGGAGGTACAGAGGACCTCAGTGACATTCACAACATCTTCCAACCACCTGTAACTCCACTATCAGGGGATGCAGTACCCTCTTCTGGCCCCTGAGGATACCTTCATTCAGTACTGACACACAGACAGATACATAATTTGAAAGAAAGACAATAAGGAAACAAGAAATGGAGGCATAGAAAAGAAAAAGGAGAAGTCTTTTTGTTGAGTTAAAGATGAAACAAAGTTAGACATGGAAATATCAGTAGGTTGGGGGTGGGGTATTTATTTATTACAGCCAAAGCATTATCTCTTTTTGTTGTTGTTGTTTATTTCAAGTTTTATTTTTTTATTTTTTTCTCTTTTTTTTTAATTAGCAAGAAAATTATTTTACATGTCAATCCCAGGTCACTCTCCCTCCCCTCCTCCCCTGTCCCCCCAACTAACCCCCTACTTATCCCATATCCTTTCTGCTCCCCAGGAAGGGTGAGGCCTTCCATAGGGTTCTTCAAAGTCTGTCATAGTCTTTGGGCTAGGGCCTAGGCCAATCCCCTGTGTCTAGGCTCAGGGAGTATCCCTCCATGTGGGATTGGCTCCTAAAGTCCATTCCTATGGTAGCATTAAGTACTGATCCACTACAAGAGGCCCCATAGATTTCCAAGGTCTCCTTACTGACACCCACATTCAGGGGGTCTGGACCCCTTTGCTGATCAGTCCTTCTCTGCATCTGGATTTCAGTTCAGTTCAAGGTTTAGATGTTGGTGTCTGCTTCTACTTCCACCAGCTGCTGGATGAGGGCTGTGATGGCATTTGAATTAGTCATCAATCTCATTATCAGGAGAGGGCATTTAAGGTAGCCTCTCCTCTGTTGCTTAGATTGTTAGTTGGTGTCATCTTTGTAGCTCTCCAGACATTTCCCTAGTGCCTGATTTCTCTTTAAACTTATAATGTCTCCCTCTATTATATTATCTCTCTTTACTAAGCAGCAATCTATACATTAATGTGTAACTTCTCAGAGGTTGGCCCTTATTAACTGTAATTAACAAGTAGCCACAACTTTGCTTCAGTATAGCCCTCCCAGAGTTGTAGGTATCTCCGGCTTTGTTTCTAAGCTCTAGATAATTTGTCACACACCATACACAGTCTATGATGGCACTGAAATGTCATGTTGCTGCACAACCTGAGAAAGTTGTCTGTTTAAGATTGGACAAGAAGCCTTGCCTCTTCAGAATTGGAATTCTCAGGCTGCAAGATTGGTCAGCAGGCAAAAGTGCTTGCCATGTGTGCAAGCCTGACAGCCTGAGTTCAATGCCCAGAATTCAGTGTGGAAGATATTAGGTCTCCAAAGATTGTCCTCTGACCTATAGGTGTGCCTGCACTCACACCACACACACACACATACACACATGTGAGCGTACACACACATACACGCATGCATACACATCATGCACACACAGTGTAATAATAAAGAATTAATTTTTTACAGAAGTGAAATTCTTTATTTAAAAGTGAACATTTCTCTAGGTAGATCAGGCCCTCATTCCACCCTACGGAGTAGTAGGGACTCTCCTAAGATTCTTATTTGCCTCAAAATTTGGAACATGACTTTTACCCTGATAGGGGAAAGAAAATTTAGAAAAAGGGTCATAAGAGAGCCACAGAAGTACACAGTATTTCTCAGGGAATCTCTTTGCACATGTTAAGTGTGTCTTCCATCAATGAGCACTCAACAGGCTCCTTTCTAAAGAACCTGGGAGTGGACACTTGAGAAACTGTTCGGTTACATCAGCCACCATATAGCATTGATTCAAGTGGTCACTGTGTCTCTCCCACTGCCTTTGTTACAGTTTCTCCCTCTAGTAAGCCCATTTACATACAGCACAGTGATCAGATAAGAATGTGGCTACTAATAATTACTGAGAACACATTCACAATGATTTATAGTTGATCTTTTCCCCTTGAATGATCTCATTAACTTGCTAAAATAAGCTGAGAGGTAGAGTTCACTGTAATCTTCACTCAAGAGCTCAGAGTCTAGAGACACTGAACTTGCCCGCTAGAAGAGCTGGAGGCAGAATGTAAATCCTAGGCCTGTGACTTCTGGTACAAGGCCAGAATTTATGTCCTTAATGTCACAGTAAGGGCTGCAGTATAGCTTCTAAAACACTGTTGAGGGCTTTGCATTTCTTGCTGAAAGTTGCAGAATACACAGTAGATCCATATGGGAATCTACCTCCATGGAACCCTGATGGACATGAACACTTAAAAGAGTAGAGAGAGGAGAAGCCTGTGGACAACTTTTTGTTTGTTTCTGTGTAGATGGGTGGATAGATAGATAGATAGATAGATAGATAGATAGATAGATAGATAGATAGATGGATAGATGTTATTATTACCATCTGTCATAACAGAGCATATACTCAATTTTCAGCAAAAATTTAACAAAGGTAAAAGGCTTTTGTTAATATGCCAAGTCACTATTTTTCATGATAAAGCCGTAGTCTGTGCTGGGGTTTTGGGTTTTTTTGTTTTATTTTGTTTTGTTTTGTTTTATTTTGTTTTATTTTGTTTTGCAGTGTGGACCTGGGTTTGTTATTGAATAAGAAAATTTATTATGTATCCATTCCAACTAGTACACTTCTACAGAACCTAGATGTTATTAGAACATAATCATTTTTTTTAACCATTCCACAGCAGCTATCAAATATTCTACAGTTTGAGATAACACATGAGGCCCTTACCTTGAAATCTTTAGTATCCATTCTCTTTTCTGCCAGGGCTCACCAGATGGTCCTAAAAGCTTTGGACATGAAGATACAACACCCCATGTCCACAGCATCTCCTTCATTGCTTAGCAATATTGCCCTCACTACATGAGTGGGATTTCCTGTTTTAGAGTTAGGAAACTCTGCTTTGAAAAGAGAGTTGAAATAAGTGAGAACTATAAAGTTTTCAGCTAAGGGTTTTTCTATAGTCTGTTTGCTTTGTGCCACACAATTGCCTGGCACCTCCTAGTATAACAGTTCATGCCATCAGCTGCCTGAACTTTTCAGTTCAGCTTTCCAGATGACCCATAGGCATTACAGGGCTCATTAGTCAACAATGGAATATCTCCATTCTTTTATGGAATCCAGTTGACTGACATATAACTGTGTTTCCTTTTTTTTTCAAAACAGAGAAAAATGTTTGCGGGAAATGCAGTGAGAACTGTAAGGCATGCACTGGATTCCACAATTGCACAGAGTGCAAGGGCGGGTTAAGGTAAGAGAGTGAGATCCAGCAAGAGATGCCACCGCCCAGGGAGCTTTGCAAAACAGAACACATGAGAGTCAGCGTGTAAACAGATAGTTCTCTTCCATCTGCCCTTGGTTTGACTCTAGCAGAAGCACTTACCTGTTATTTGGATTATTGATACAATTAGATATGGGAAAATGGGTTGCCATCTTGGCTAAGGAAGGATTATAAACCAAATAAATTCCCTATAAAGAAGAAGACTCTGTGGCTGGAGAGATGGCTCCACGGTTAAAGAGCACTTGCTGTTCTTGCCACTTCTGACTGCCACAGGCACCAGGCACACACATAGTATACTACACGCATGTAGGTGAAACACTCTAACACAAAATAAATAAATCTACAAAAAATTTAAAATTATGAAAGAAAGATGACTCAGATATAAGTAAAAAAAAAAAAATGGCCACTTGAGAAGCATCCCTGATACATTTTGACCTGCATTGTGCTAGTCAAGAATGACTGGGCAGATAGTGCCAGTAAGTGCTATTTAATCGCCTGATTAAATTCTCAGTGGTGGAAAGTTATTTCCTTATCTTTATTATTTCTCTCCACATCCCCAGTCATCCGCTTATCTTAAGTACCTCAGGTTCAGTTCCATTAGACTATCTTCAGTGTGCACATAGATTTAACTAACACCAGGGGATGTTTTCCTCGAATTAGTGGTTTGCTCATTGCCAAAGCTGATAGTCAGGAGACTGTAAGAGAGCAATGTGCAGCACAAATGACTGAAGCCTCTTTCCTGAGGAAGAGGTCAGATGCTTCTATGCTGAGCCACGTGGAGGGCTCTGGCTTTGTATGGAGGTGGAGCTCTACAGTGGGTTCCTCGAAGGTAGTGACAGGACATTTTATTCATTCCATCTTTGATCAAAAGTGAAATGGCATAGTGTAGGCCATTCCCAGGCAAGTGTCCTTGACACTTGTCAGTATTGAAACATAATTTACACGTATTGATTACCTGTGTTGTTGCTCTTTGTTTTCATAAATGTTCATAGTTACTTAGTGCCTTGCTTCTCGGTGCTTGATAATCTTGATAAATACAAGTCTGCACAACTGCCTGGTTCTCTTTTTTAATTTTTATTTTATGTGTACGCATTTTTTCTTGTGCATGCTTATACACCGTGTATGTGCCTGGTGCCCATGAAGATCAGAAAAGGGTACCAGATGCCATGAGCCTGAGTTGTAAGTTGTAAGTTGCCATGTGGGTGCTAGGAATCAAATCCAGATCCTCTGGAAGAGCAGCCAGTGCTTGTAACAGATGAGCCATCTCTGTCTCCACTTAATTCTTCTTAAAGGAACAGTGAAATGGTGTGGCAGAATCCTCTTCCACTATTTGTTAATTGGGGTTTTGAGCAAGTCACTTAACTGCTGTTGTCTTCCATTGTTCTCATTATAAAATGGTGACACTGTGCTTTGCCAAACTATGGTAAAGTATAAAATGAGGACTTTTATGTACTTAGATCTGGTATGTAATTAGTCCTTGGGAAATAAAGACTGCTGAGCTTGTTTCTTCTTAGAGAACATTTTATGGAATAAGTTAAAGCAGAACACACAGCAGAACTGTAAGAGCCATGTATGTAGTTGTAGATGTGCCAGTAGCTGTATTAAAAGGGGTAAAAAGCCATAGGGGAAATGATTTTAATAAAATATTTTTACTTAGCCTGGTATATCCAAAATATTATCGTTACATGTGACCAACATATAAGAAAACTATTTGTGAGTTACTCTACATCCTTCATTGCTTTATTAAGTCTTTGAAGTCTGGTATATATGGTCTTAACATATATCTAAGAGTTAACAATAATGTTTATAAGAAATATCTGTGTTAAGATACTTTTAAATCTAATTGAGAGAACAAATTTTATTAAGCCACCCATTCTAAATGTGCTGAGAAGTTTGCCAGTAACTGAATCTAGTATAAGCCTGTTTTCAAATATAGACATACATTAATTAAAACTGAATGAAAATTTAAAATTCAGTTCCTTCACAGCACTAGCCCCACTTCAAGGGCTCAGTAGTCAAAGAAATAGCACAAGCCTGAACTAGCTGGATTATGCAAGAAGGAATGGAGGCAATCCTGAGCAGGGCTGGTGAGCCTCACGATAACTATGTTTTTGGAGCAGCTGACCACTCAGAGTTCAGAGTTCTCTGTGGCCCACCCCTTCCTTCATCAGTTCCTGCACAGTGCAGCCTCTGTCTCCTGCTGAATGGAAGCCAAGCTCGGAACGCTGTCCTTTCTTGGAGAGCCAAGGCATCTTTTCTAAAACTGTGCTACATTTTTTTTTGAGTGGTCCTTATTGCATTCCACAAAAGGATTTATTTGATGCACTCTGCTTTTCTCTAGAAGTGGAGGAAGAGAATGAGGTCTTTGTTGGCAGCAGGCCAGCAAGCTCTGAGAATGGCAGAGACATAAGCTCTGAAAATGGTAGGGACATACTTTTGGTGAAGCTGCCCTTTGTCATATCGAGGCTCCTTCCTAGGTGCTTCTAGCTGAGCATGTGACCTCAGAAGACCTGTGAATTTTAACATGGTGGCTAAGAACAAGTAGGAGGAAATACCTTTGCCCAAAGTCCAGAAAGAAAATAATTAAAATGCTAACAGGAGTATTTATGACTATTTTCATCAGCTATTTTATTTTTGTACTTTCCCAGTTTCTTGAGTAAGCAGAGGCTGAAGTAAACTTCAATTTCCAAAATTAATATGACCCATTCCAAAGCAGCCAACTAGGATGTAAATTGAAATAATACAGAGTATAAGAAAGTAGAAACCATTTGAACATGTCCAATACATATCGAAGTAAACTTCAATTTCCAAAATTAATATGACCCATATCCAAAGCAGCCAACTAGGATATAAATTGAAGTAATACAGAGTATAAGAAAGTAGAAACCATTTGAACATGTCCAATACATAGAACATTGTCCAATAGAATCAATTTGATAACAAAGATTACACCAACACTCTTTCAGTTTCCATTCCATATTTTATATGAAATAAAATAAAGTCTATGTATATTTTTAAGTTTAAGAATTAAGCTGTAAGCTTGGTGTGGTGATGTCATCCTAGAGGCCAGAAGGTCATCTTCAGTTACATAGCTAGCAAATTCAAGGCCAGGGAGGCTACATGAAAGCCTGTCTCAAAAGTTAATTAATCAGTTAATTAATGAATTAAACTGTAGGCTATGAGAAATGCCATAGCTGACAGAAATTTTAAAGAAGAAATTTTTTATGTTTTCTTTTTATATTTTAGAAACTCAGATGTGTCTCAGAGTGGTAGCTAGAAAAGTAGAAGTGTCAATAAATGGTGTAATATTGTAGAAGTGCCTCCAGAAAAAAAACTGAAACATGATCCCACCAAGAAAAGTAAAGCTGTTTACAAAGTTGGATTTTTGCCGCTTACTCATTAGAGTGGCTTAATTTGAAGCTATGTATGATAGCATATTGCCAGCCATTGAATTGTTTTGTCAGAGTTTTTATTGTCTCATTTCTTTATGGGGTTGAGTGTTTTGCCTGCATGTATGTATGTGCACCACATACACAGAATACTCACAGAGGCCAGAAGAAGACATCAGATCCTCTGCAACCGGAGGAGCAGAAAGTTGTGAGCAGTCACGTGGGTGCTGGGAACCCAAAATGGTTCTTCTGCTAGAGCAAGTGCTCTTAACCACTGAGCCATCTTTCTGGCCACTTGCTAACACTTTTTAAGACTCTGTTAGATACTGAGTATGGTTGAAATATGCCGGACTACATGACAGAGTCAAAAGAATAAATGTCCCTTAGGCTTATCAGCACATATGTGTGCTGCAAATGTTATTACAAGTACCAAGAAAGGTCTAGGGCCATTTTCCTTGTCTTGCAGCTTTACTAAATCTCTGGTCTGAGGGGAGACTGTATTTGTTACATATGGAACCTGTATGTCATTGCCACTTTGTATCTTATCTGTGTTTCTCACAGCCTTCAGGGATCCCGTTGTTCTGTCACCTGCAACGATGGACAGTTCTTCAATGGCCATGATTGCCAGCCTTGCCACCGTTTCTGTGCTGCCTGTGCCGGTACCTTCTCCTGCTTCTCCCCTTATTTGCCTACTTGTGCTTTTTATTTTATTTGGCTCTAGCCAACTTTTATGTAGCACTCAGTATGTTTCAAGCGAGTGTAGAGGGACACATTTCTCCTGATAATTATGCAGCAGTTCTCACAGAAAGCCAGTCATCAGCGCCTTGTCTTCACTGAGAAACTGAAATATCTCAGAGGTGTCTTTTTCTTGGAAGAACTGGTGTTCTTGGCAAATAGGTTTGGTTAAAACACAAGAGTCCCTCAGAGGTCCACTGAAGGAAAGGAAGAAAGAGGAGGAAGTTATGACTTCAAATGGTGGTAGATGGGTGGCTTTCACAGACTGCTATGGAATTCTGTGCTTAAGTCTCTTCTGAAGCTTTTTTTTTTTCCTGTTTCTTGCATGCACCTTGGACTGAAGGGGCTGGAGCAGATGGGTGCATTAACTGCACAGAGGGTTATGTCATGGAAGAGGGAAGATGTGTACAGAGCTGCAGTGTGAGTTATTATTTGGACCATAATTCAGATAATGGATACAAATCCTGTAAGAGGTAAGTCCATCTGCTCTGACCCTAGACTTGATATATGAGTTGATATATGAGTTCTTTGTAGGACTGCCTTCCTACGTAATGAGAAAACTGAGATTTTTTTTAATGGTAAAGTACGATTCAGTCATTTGCCTTTGGGCAATGACCTGTTACCTAGTATTTGTAATGCCGCAGGACCACCTTAAAGTTTTTAGTATGTTCATGTTTGTAGTAGGTGCCTGGAGGCCAGAGGTCAGCACCAAGTGTCTTCCTCAATTGTCCTTTTATGTTTTGAGATGAGGTCACTCAGTTTGATTAGATGGTCAAGCACAAGCCCCCAGGATCTATCTCCCTTCCCAGGGCTCCAATTATAGACGCACAACACCACGCCTGCATTTTGACATGAGTGCTGGGGATCTGAACCTTACCAAATTGGCCATATTCCCAACCCCAACTCCCCCTCACACATACCTTAGAGTTTTTAAAATAATATCTCTGTTTCCAAAACATGTTTGTCCCCTTTGGCACCAGTGTGTACCTGCCATGTTTTCCTCTAACGTTCTCAAACCTAACAGCTACTGTAAGAAAAGATTTTTTTATCATCTTCAAAAGAAGAATTAATTTTAAAATGTTAAGAGCTTGCTGGTAACTATACCTTCTCCCATGCAAATGAAGAAGAGATTTAATAAATTGTGCTTTTTGCCCATAGATGTGATAACAGCTGTTTGACATGCAATGGCCCAGGATTCAAGAACTGTTCCAGCTGCCCCAGTGGATATCTTTTAGATTTAGGAATGTGTCAGATGGGAGCCATCTGCAAGGATGGTGAGTACAGCTATGTGATTCTGTTATCTTCCCACTTTACAGACTAACGTATTTCCTTCCATTTTAATAAAGAAACTAACAAGCATGCATCTAACAGGATATGCTCAGTATCTTGCTGACATTCACTCACCTTGAATTTACACCTTCAATGGGTCATGTTGCTTTGTACTATTTTGTTATCGTTGTTTAAAGACAGAATCTTACGGTGTAGTTCAGGCCAGCCTCAAACTCATGGTCCTCTTGCTTCGGCCCCTTAGGGTCGTAAGTGTGTACCACCACAGTCCACTTTGTTTCTCTTTATTTTTCTTTTTTTTTATTTTCTAATTTTGGGAAGAAATAAATCACCTGCGATCCCAAGATGGTTCTAGTTAGTTGCTTTAATTAATAAGCTATTTTTCAAGGTAGCTTTCCCTTCATTAAAAAAAAGCTGAGCATAGACTGGAGATTGCCCTTGCACTCCAAGCCTACTCATGAGCGTACAATGACACATCATTATCATCCAAGTCCATAGCTTACATTAGCAGACATTTTGGCACTAAACCTTCATTGTGTTTGAACAAGCATACATGATATGTGTCTACCATTATCATATCACACAAGATAGTTTCACTGCCCTAAAAATCTGTGTTCTGCCATTCATCATCCTGCCCTACCCCCACTTCCTAGGAATTTCTGACTTTTTTGTGAAACATCTTACATTTATGATCATATACTATGTAGCCTTTTCTGGTTGATTGGATTTTTGAATTGTTTCTTTCCAGTTCTTTGTCATTTGGACCTTTGCCAGATTTTTTGATGCCTCATCATAGAGCTTTATATGCTCCCTTGAATACTAAGCCTTTGGCATAAATATATCCTAAGTCCTATGTTTTATAAAATTTGGGGCATAGTATTTAATCACATAAATGTTCTCTAACACCTGCCACTTTCTGGTTATTTGGATTTTTATGATTTTGCTATGTGACCCCTAATCAAATGATACCGGAGTATTTCATGAGGTATGTAAGGCTAGGAACTAATATTCCAACCTTCCAGCAGGAAAACGCAAGATGTGATGCTGGAAAGTGACAGACCAACCCTAGACCTAAAGATTTTCCAAGTTTCGGGCCAGTCTGCTTTTCTTGCCATTTAATGGTTTTTATCCAAAATTCTGGAAACAACACCATCCCCTGAGGTTCTGCTTGACTTATGCAGGATAGAGTATAACATGATTTGCGGCTGGTTTAAGGAGCCATTTTCCCTACCAGTTCGTTCACTTCTGTGTCCTTACTGGCTCCACCTGTAAATTCAGCATATTGCAATTATTCCAATACCAGCAACAGTGGATTTCGATTCTCCACATAATTCATGCTGAGGGGACCCTAAATATCGTACCTAAACTTTACATATAGAGTATATCCCAACAGAGAAGTAGATCATATTTGAACTATCATTCAACATGTTCTTTGGAGACTGCATTTAGTATAGTCTTGGCCACAAGGGGACAGCCCTAGGGAAAGGCAACCTGCACTGTGTTTGGCTGAATGTGGAGTTAGGAGTCTGTACACTGTATTCAGATCGCCACTACAGGCATGCGGCTCCTTTCCCTGCCACACAGTGAAGAAGAAGATAACTCTGACCCTGCGTGATTAGTTCACAGCTCAAATCTCAAAAGGACAGGGCAGGAAGGGAGCACATGTGGCCACTGATACACAAGGACAATGGTGGTCTTATTTTCATGAAACATCTGGGTGGCTGCAATCTTCATCATGTTTCTACTGAACAGGTAGGGGAGCAGGATAGGCTCAGCCCACCCCACTCTGTGCTTTTAGATCCTGCCAGGGATAATTCTGAGTGCAACATTCTAGGGTAAGAAGCCTGAAGTGGGGGCACCAGGGCCATCTACTTATTGGCGTTCAGTTGCCAGCATATGCCTTCCTACCTGAATTTAAAAAACATGGTTCCTTTGTACTGGAATACAACCAGGCCTTTCTATTTCAAGTCAGAAGATTTAAGTGTTTGACAGTCACAGGACATCTACCTTGACATTTTCCCCTCTAGTATTTGATACAAGGCACCTAAAGTTAACGATGTACTAACCCTTGCTAAGCCATGCTGACCACAGGCCAAGGTCACACCAAATGGCAAGAGGAAGTATCATGGAGAGCCATAGTTTGCAGTGAGGCCACTTTCCAGGCCTATTGAAGAATGGGGTCCCTTGAGCCTTCAGTCACATGGTGGTCAGAGGAAGTATCATGGAGAGCCATAGTTTGCAGTGAGGCCGCTTTCCAGGCCTATTGAAGAATGGGGTCCCTTGAGCCTTCAGTCACATGGCAAATGCTCTTAAGGACTACTGTTTGCTCCTTTTCAACTGTCATATTTCCATGATTCTAAGACAATTCTTTTGCAGTTTAACATTTCAGAAATCAGATATATCTGGTCATTCATGACAACTCACTATTACATCCCATCAAGTTGATGGGATGTAAGTGTCATTGCCTGATCTGAGACTTAGCCACGGGGATGTGCATTCAATTGAATGGATCGTGTGGCTCCTGGCTTTCATGTGTCATTTAACAACTGTTCAAATGAGCATCAAAGAACTACACACAGAGCATCATATCACATACTGTTAATAAAAATAAAATTGAAATTCCAGTTGCTACCATAATATAGTATCACAGTGTAAGCATTGTTACCTTTGTGATACTGAAATAACAGTGAATATTAAACCTTGTGTCTTAGAGTCAATGGAATATGGCACAAATGACTGTATATATTCTGCTCTAGATAGTTCTAAAAAGAAAAGTTCCTTGCTTGTGATATTATTGATCTCTAATTTATTCTTTTTCCAATCTCTTTTTCCTTTCACAAATGGATACCAATCACATTTACTCCTGGACTGCAATATTTCTCCTTGAAAACATTGCTGTTGACTGAAATAATTTGGGGTGGACCAAATTCCTTCCCTGTTGACTGCTCCTGAATGACCTCTTCCAACTCCCCAAATCTACCTCTTTGGCCAATCAAAAACCTCCCTCCGTGTGTCCTGCTGCTCTCGACTCCACTCCCCCTCTCTCTTGCTGACTTCCGGAAAAGCCACGGAAGAGTCCTGGGCAGAAGGAGGCTTCTGTATGCTTGTGAAAAAGAACAATCTGTGTCAGCGGAAAGTTCTACAACAACTGTGTTGCAAAACATGTACATTCCAAGGCTGAGCAGCCGCCTTAGATCCTTGATCCTGTAGACTTATAGATTATTCCATATTATTAAAGAGAAAAAAAGCCAAAAACTGCAAACCACCTCTCTCTTTCTTGCTATCTTTTTTTTCTCTCTCTCAAGTTTGTGCAGGGAGATGGTGAACTATTTTGTCAAAACTTAAGTAGAAAAAATAAATAAATCTACAACAAGCCTACCTTTTAAAACTGGATGTTTAGTGTTAAACATCCAGAATCACAAAGACAGTATTGTATTACCAAAGTATTTGATGCCAAAATTTGAAGTTAAAGTAATAATTTGATTTCCTGCCCTGGTTTGAAGGTCCATTTTATTCCTTTGCACTCACGTTCTTATTTCTTCTTTAAAATGCCTAAAAAAAATTCTGAAAGCATCACAAAAGCACACATAGATGAAAATGAACAGAAAGCTTTTACATCAGTCATTTTTCTGCACCTAGGGGAAATGACAGGAAACTGAACCTTAGGGTACCGAGAACTTCCTACTGAATGTGTTCAGTGTCCTCGTTAGTGCTATACAGTTCCATGGTGATCTCCCACACGTGACTGGTTTTGTATGGCATGCACTGGTTTTTTGCACTTTTCTCACCTGATAAGTTTGCTCCATTGGCTTTATCAGGTAGACTTTCTGCTACTGGCTTTCCAAACACTGTCAGTTGGGTTCTTTTCCACACAGCTGGTAAAATGGATGGTTCTGTAGAGTCAAACTGATGGTAGAAGCATGAGGTACCCAGAAGGGTTGAGGCTAACCCAGGTCCCCTGAAGCCCAGAGAGTCATTCTGTAGACCCTGTGCAACCTCTTGGTGCTACCTAGCCATTTCCCCCATAACATTTTTTTAACTGTCGTCAGAAATTCCATTTGTTATGATGGGAAGCATTAGAGATAGGATGCAGGGAGTTTCTTCCCATGGTCAAAAGTTCCTAAGAGGTCCTGTATTTTTTAAGAAATAGAATTTATTTAAATAATATTTAAGCTCCTGCATACACTGGTGGAGCAGTGTTTCTCAATGGTGCTGACTACGAGTTGTCTCATCCTGTCATTTTAAGAAAATAAAACTGGAAATTGAATGTGGGTAGCACGATTGTACCCTCCTGGTTCTGTATTTTTTCACCCTTCTTCCTTCAATAACTGGGACCATGCTCTCCTGCACCTGTCCACTGAATGTCACCGAGCTAGCATTGCTTTGTCCATTCGTCTGATTCAAAACGTATTCACTGGTTTTGTGTGACTCACAATCATTTCGTGGAATCCAAAATACTGAACTGTAGAGAAATTACTTTGGATCTGTGGTTGAAAATGATGAAACCCAATATATCTTTTCACAGTTCCTCTGAAAGTAACTAATACCAAGCTCCTTCCTTTTTCCCATCAAATCTCCATGGTGACCTCATTTACTTGTAGCCTGACCAGGCATCCTTAGGCTCTCAACTCTGAAAGGCTACACTTCTGAGATGCTGTGACTTCAGTGCTAAAAGGAGAGAGGTGATCTTGGGAAGGAGCTGGGATGTGGATGCTAAAGTCCCTGCTCACACAAACAAGTAGTAAACACCCTGCACTGAAAAATCTCCCTAGGCAGCAAAGTTCACTTCCAGCTACAGGGAGATAATGAGTAATTGGTCTATTGAACCCTTTAATAGCATTATAATGTTACTGAATCACATGATTCATTATTAACTAAGGAGCTGGCAGGTTATGCTGGGCAACTTTTCCTCTTTAGAACATGGTAGGCTCTTTTGACACAAAGAGCAAAGGGAATCCTGGTCATGGAATATTATTCTGCTTACATTTAAATGAGCATTTTTTAAATGAACAAATTTAAACACAAACCAGGCAGAGGCAAAAACTGGATTTGCCTGGAAAGGAATCCAACTGATTAAGCATGGTTATACTACTAGAGGCATTTGGTCACAATGATACAAGAGATAAAACTGAAGCTTTTGTCCTTAGACAGTTAGCCACTGATATGGCAGAAAATTCACTGGGGTCAACCTCCATGCATTCCGTTCCCACTGACCATGCAGGTGCACATCACGGAAATACCAGTTTAACTACTAATTTGTTACTGTCTCATTAATCTACATGACATTATTAACTAGAACATAATGCTTTCGAAGTTTACGTTAATGTTATATATTATGTATAGATATATATATATATATATAACCTCCATGCATTCCGTTCCCACTGACCATGCAGGTGCACATCACAGAAATACCAGTTTAACTACTAGTTTGTTACTGTCTCATTAATCTACATGATATTATTAACTAGAACATAATGCTTTCAAAGTTTACGTTAATGTTATATATTATGTATAGATATATATATATATATATATTCATGAGTATATATAATGGATAGCACAAAGTATGGAGACGTGACAAATGCTCTTACCCTTGGAGACAAAAGTCCTATTTTCTGTTTTCTTTTGTCTTTTGATCTTTAATTCACTAATTAATAGTGACCTGTTGTTAAGTCCAAATCCACTTTACTGAAAAAATACTGTACATGTGTAAAATGTTCAGTTGGTTTTTTGTAAAATATAGAACAGTTGTAATTGATACCGGCCAAAATCAATGTTATTCCATATTTTATTTTTTCTATTAAATTAACCTAAGTTCCTGTTTATTTGATCTCTTCATACCCATTTATAAACATCTCTGAAAGGCTTAGTTGATGAAAATTTCTCTGCTTCCATATTGAAGTAGAATGTGAAGGAACAGTGGATACAAATCAAGTTTCTAAGTACATATAGAAAAACAGGAGAAGAGAGGTACAAATGAACAAGGAGGAAGAGGAAACTACATAAAGAACAGGTGACATTTGGGCAGCAATGTATGTTAAATCTTGTTTTCAGCAAGAATAGAACTGGGGGCACTGATGTATCGAGTATCTCATATAAATTTGGCAGTGGCTAGCCCTGAACACCTAACAGACAAGCTTATACAACAGAAACCTCTGAGTATACAGCACCAAGTGAGACTGGAAAATGCATTAAAGTGATCAGTGGATGTATATTATTGTGGACCCTGCTTGAGATGCAGTCCCTATCCTTGTGGCTTATTACTTACCATTTGAGAAGAGAAATCAGAAAAAGCAGCAAGGTGAGTTCCAACCAGATTTAAATGTCAAAGAATACATATGGGTATAAGAGAGAGCTTTACAATCACAAAGTCCCAATATGAAGACAAAGGGAATTGATTTTAGTGACCACCTACCATGCAGTACACTGTATGAGAATATAATACATATATCCTGAGGAACGCATAACCTCTCCTGAGTTTGAGAAAGACAGAGCAGAGGTACATGTGTTATCCTATGTATCCATAACATAAACCAAAACATACAAGTAGACTTTAAATTGATATGGCAAATCAGCAATCACAGTCATGAAATCTGACGACCAACAGAAAGCAGTGAGTTCCAAATCTTGTGGGTGGGTAATTTAGTTAAATTTATGCTGAACTGGTCAAGGTCAAGTAAGTGGAACTGATAGAAGTATAATAGGCCCATTGCTATTACTGTCTAGGGGTCTTGATCAGGTTTGTTTTCTCTGCCAGTTAAAGAATTAAAAGGCAAGGGAGATGTCAAGCAGGACAGGTATCAGCTTGAGAAATCTCAAACAGCACACACAGAACAGAGAGAATCAGCTTCGTAAGGAAGGCTTTTATTGGGGGTGAAGAAAGACTCATGTAGCAGGCATGAAGGAAAAGACCATCTGCAAAGCAGAGGGCACATTTGAGAAGCCAGAGGCCAGCTTCTCCTTGAGGGCTGGAGTTGTTATAGTCCTTGAAGTTGTTAAACCCCTTGAATTTAGGGTTGGCCAATGTGAAGAAATATGGGATGGCTGAATGGACTTGTTGAGCCAGCCCACCAGCAGGAGGAAAAAAAAAAAGAAGCCCACAAGGCCTTTGTTTCAGCTGCCAGACTTTTGTGTCAGGTCCAGGGGGCAGTGAAAAAGCTTGAGGTTCACTATCCTTATTACCTAGTCATGGCCCCACTCCCTATCGGTTTGCCTATCAGGAAGCCGATCTAACTCCTAGACCCTCTTCACAAATAAGCTGGCCACACACGAGAGGATCAGGTCAGGAAGATGTGTTCATGGTTTTAATCTAATTAGTGCATTGCTACAAAGGGCAGTAGCTCAACTTACAATGGCTTAGTTAAGAAATGACTACACCTTTGCCTTTGCTGCCGGTACTCCATCTCTTCCCTGCCCCATCGTAACTACAGCTGCAAAGTTCTCACGTTCCATCCCAATGGAAGCCCTTGCTCCACAATGGCATTCCCAAGCTTACCAGGAAGTTGCAAGCCATGAAGTTGGTAGTGAAGGGAGCCCACTGGCTTCTGCCTAATATACTGAAGTTTCTCTGTCGAGTGATCAACATCATAGGCACATGTGAATATGGAAATACACAGGCCCTACTTGCCACACCAAGCCCAGTAGAAAGACTCTAATAGTGCTGACACGGAACTGTGCATTCTTCACAGTGTTTGGGTCATCACCCAGCCATACCCAGAATGCCAGCAGACAACAGGGTGAAAATTAAGATTAGAGACAACCTTCAATTTTTCTGGTCACTTGGATGCTACGTCCTTCCATTCTCTAATAAAAAATGGCAGGCAGAAACCAAGACCAGCTGCCTCACCTGCCCTAAGCTGGGCTCTGGTCCCTAAACACAGAATATGTACATGACACAGGAAATATAAGCCTGCTTCTCTTCCCTGGTTAACATCCATTTCCAGATGCTTTTGTTGCCAGCCCATAAAATCCAAAGTTCTCCACTGGGCACTTTAGAGCCTTTGACATACTCAGCTGGGCACAGCCAAGATGAACTGAATCTTACTGGGGCTTGTTGGCGATCTTTGGCACCTAGCAGGAGATTCTAATCCACATAACCATGTCTTCTTATCATCACTAGAGATGACAATCCAGCCGGATTCTGTTTTTTGGCAAGAAAGAGTCAGTTATGCACCAGAG